TCCTCCGACCGCCCCCCGGCAGGCTGTTGACTGCCCACCGCGGCGGCGGCGGTCCCGGCTCGGCTCACTGTCGTCGGCACTTCATTTTACGGGAGCAACCTCCTCCGTTTAGTGGCGGCGAGTCAACACCAAGCTGTGAGGGGGGCGGGGGCGGGAAGCACCTGTCGACACTTCCCCTTCTCCCCCTCCTCCCTTCCCCTCCCGGGGCCGCGTGTAGCGAGAGCGAGTCAGGGTGGCGCGGCGCTTCTCTGCAAATGTTTTTACAACGTTATCGATCGAGATCCGCGTGATTCAGAAGTACTATACATCGTATTGGTAAAGACCGCGCTTATGGTTCCGTATACGAAGGGGCTGTAAAAAGAAGTCGCGACGGGGTGAAAAGCTGTCCCGCTAATGGGAGAGATAGAGGGGAGGGAGGGGGGGGGGGTATGGACAGAGAGGGCGTACTGGAGGCGGCGGCTAAAGCTGTTGACGTTCCGAGACCACTTGGGGGTCGCCACGCGGCCGCCACCACACACAGCGGTCCCGCCTGCGCTCAGCCACGCCACGCCCCGCCACGCCGCGCCGCGCTCTGTGGTCGCTCCTCTCTGGTCGGTGTGTGTGCTGTCGTGGCAGAGTCCAGTCATAAATCCAAGTCGTCGTGCCGTCCCTTGCCCCTTCGACAGAGGCTGTGCGCTTCGAGCTGTGCCCCGGGCTGTGCCCCGGGCTGTGCCTCAGCCCGGCCGGTAGGCAATCCCGCTGTGCCGGCATGTCGACCGGACGGCCTACCCACAGAATAACAGTTAGTTTGGTTACTTGGGTATTTTGTGGGCATACCCGCCAGGTGCCTCGACACGCAGTGGTAGGCAGCCCGCTTCGCACCACCTACAATGACATCGGGCACGCCCCCGAAATCCGAACAATTTGCCCATGGCAGAAAAGACCCATATGATTTTTGGAATCATGGATTCCATGGAATCATGATTTGACTTTTTATTTTTTAGAAAAATTGTCATGAACTTCAAACAAACATTTCCAAATTTATTT